GATGAACAAATTTCCAAAGCAAAGACTCTTTGTATGGTTTCTGATGGTTGGTCTAATATTAATCGAGAATCAGTACAAAATTTTATCATTTGTACTCCTAAACCAGTTTTTTTTAATGCTACATTTTCAGGTGAAGAATCCCATACAGGAGAATGGATTTCAAATGAAATTATTCAACAAATGGAAGCTATTGGTGTTCAAAAATTTTCAGCTGTTATTACGGATACAGCTAGTGTAATGAAATCAGCATGGAGACGAATTAAGGAAAAATATTCCAATGTTGTTTGTCTTGGGTGTAACTCTCATGTTATTAATCTTTTAATTGGGGATGTTTTAAAGATTGATGAAATTAAAACCATAGTTGAAAATTCTAAAATGATATGGTGGCTGTCACCTATAAACCACACTAATATTAAGTGACTTCAAATTTTTATAAATTGTAAATTGAATAGTAAAAAGAAAAAACTAAACCGATAAAATGATATAGCAACATGTACTGAACATTTCTATCGGATTATTTTATAGAATTTAATAAGAATTTTAATTAATATTATGGGCTAAAGTTGGATAATTTTAATAAGTAGCAATAATAAAAATATAAAATTTCGGACTAGTTTTCATGTAATTTTTATGGATTTTACAAAAATTCCATGGAAATCCATAAGAATTCCATGTAATATGGCAAAAAAAAATTTTGCCGCTCACGCGGCAATTAATATTTTGACAAAGTACTTTAAAACATAAGTTACACAATATAAATAAATAAATTTCAAAATTTCGGACTATTGTTGTTTATAGATGACAGCCACCATAGTAAATTATTTTAAATCTCATGTACAAGCAGCAGCAAAATTAAAACGTATTCAAGGTGAAAATTATAATAAAGAGATTGCGTTGGTTTTACCAGTACTTACACGATGGGGATCACATCTTAGCTGCTTTCAGTCACTTCAAAAATCAAAAACTGCTCTTGAACAAACATTAATGGATCCTGATATCCGTAAAAAAATAAATAATACAGTAAGAAATTTTGTATTATCTGAAAATTTTTGGGATATGTTGGATACAATTATAAAATTTTTAGAGCCAATGGTTATAGCGTTAAAATTGTTTGAATCAGACACATCTACTCTTTCAACTGTTTATTTTCACTTCAAAAAATTAATGCATCGAGTTAGTGAAATCTCTTGTAATTTTTCTAACAATATTCAACAACTTGTTCAAAAACGGTGGGATTATACATACCATCCTGTTATGATGGCTGCTTATATGTTAGATCCATGTTTTTTAGAAGAAAGCAAAAATACTGATATAGAGGCAACGGGATATAGAGAATTCACAGAATTCACAAGTAAAAGGTTCGGTCAAGAGGAATCTGTGATTATGTTTACAGAATTAGTAAAATTTCATCAAAAAAATTCGCCATATGATAATAAAACGATTTGGTTATCATCTACTAATCTTAGTCCGTCTGTATGGTGGCAATCTTGGCCAAATAGTAGCCTTCAACAACTAGCTATTAAGATTCTTTCAATTCCAACATCATCCGCCGCCGCTGAAAGAAATTTTTCTACGTTTGGGTTTATTCATAATAAAATCCGTAATCGATTGCAAAATGAACGTGTTAAGAAGTTGGTTTATATTTACAGAAATCTTCAGTTGTACGAAAAGGGGTTAAAAAGAAAATTAATACATGATCAGCATAATGATAATAACAATAATGATATAAATAATAATAATAATACTGGTAACGATAACAATAATGATGATGATGATAGTATATTCGGGTTAGAATTAAATATTACGGATTTAGCAACTGAATAATAAATAAATTTTGATAAATATAAAATAAAAATATAAGTTTAATTAAATAAATTATAAAAATTATAAAAATTTGTTATAATAGACCGGAAATTATAATTGGGTTAATTAACAGTTAATTAACGGTTAATTAACGGTTAATTAATCGGTTAATTAACCCAAATTATAATTAACCATTAATTTACCATCCTTAGCTATACCGCAGCAAGCGCAGCTGAAGCTGCGCCTGCTGCGGTAATTATTAGTAATATCACATGATACACGTGATATATATTTTTATATAAATAGGGGCATTTTCCCCGAAAAAATTTTTTTTTTTTATTATAATTTTTTTGATAGATGTATATATATACTTATATATATACATATATATATATCTATCTAATAACTTTACGAAAAGTCCCTCCTCTGTAAACAGGTAAAGGCCATAAAGTACCTATAGGGGGAGAGCCATTGCTGCTCCCTCCGCCTGTTTATAGTGACAAAAAGAGGGAGTCTTCAGTAGTAAGGTTTCGTATATATAAATTAAACAACACATCGTGTTGATACATTGTTAATATTAACAATGTGAATTTAATGTTAAATAATGCGTTAGAATATAAATATTATAAATTTAATAATGTCCATAATTTTACAAATAAATAAAAATTATCCTAACAATTTTAATGTAATTAAGTGTAATGCTACATTATCCTGTGTAATTGTAGTATTTTTTTTGTGTTTTTTAGTGCAATTCTGCGTTTTTTAGTGCAATTCTGCGTTTTTAGTGCAATTCTGCGTTTTTTAGTGCAATTCCACATTTTTTAGTGCAATTCCGCATTTTTTAGTGCAATTCCGCGTTTTTTAATGCAATTCCGCATTTTCTAGCATAATGTTACATAACACGAAATTTTCTAAAAAATATGATAATTGTGATACTTTTTAGTGTAATACTACATTGTCTAGTGTAATTGTGGTATTTTTTAGTGCAATGCCGCATAATTTAGTATAGTGCTACATTTTTTAGTATAATTTAATGTAATGTGGAATTTTCCAAAAAATGTGATAATTGTGATGCTTTTTAGTGTAATTTGGTGAAATGCTACATTTTCCAGTGTAATGCCATATTATTGAGCATTTTCAAAAAAAAAATGTAACATTTTAACATTCTGACGAAAGTGAAACATTTGACCAAAAAAACATAAAATTTGCTTAAAATATGCAACATTTGACAAAAAATATAGAATTTTCATAAAAAAATGCACCATTTGCTAGGAAATTGGAATATTTGACAAAATTTGATTTTAATTGACAATGTTATAACAATTTTATGAAATGTTGTTACAATAATATCATATTGGAGATAAAATGTGGCATTTTCATAAAAATGCACCATTTGCAAGAAAATTGGAACATTTGACAAAAAAAAAGCAAAATTTAATTTTAATTGACAATGTTATAACAATTTTATGAAATGTTATTACATTTGAGATAAAATGTGGAATTTTCATAAAAATGCACCATTTGCAAGAAAATTGGAACATTTGACAAAAAAAAAGCAAAATTTGATTTTAATGACAATGTTATAACAATGTTATGAAATGTTACAAAATGTTACATTTGAGATATAATGTAGCATTTTCCCAAATTTTCATAAAATTTGCTAAATCAGACGATGTTGTAATAATGCTATTCCAAAAAATTGCTCAGCGTAATGCAGCATTTTCCACAATTTCCCACCATTTTTCAGAAAAATGTGGAATTTGCATTTTTTGAATTTTGGACAATGGTGCCCCTTCGACCTGTGTTAGCTAATCTAACTCAATAAGTTGTTTTAGATTTTTCTTCAAATAAACCTTTTCATTATTCAATTTCATCTTGTTGTTTAATATTAATCCAACATATAATTTCAAATAAAAACTCTAGAACACCAAGAAATTCATCTAATGGTAATAGTTTGAATTCTGTAATTTTATAATAATATTGCTCAGAAAAAATATTTTGTCATAATAATTCTAGTAATTGAGAAAAAGTTAATGAAGTATTTAATTGTACTTCTAATAGATTATTATCATCATAAAACATCTAAAAATACATGAATTGTTTAGTATCTTTTAAATTTTAAAAAAATAAGCAATTTAATATAGTATAACATACTGGTACTTCATTTTGAAAAATAGCATTATAGAATTATCTTGTTCTATAGTTTATTTGAATATAAAATAATGTTAAAATTACGTGTAAAAAGACTGAAATATTGTATAATTATATGTAAAAAAAAACTGAAATATTGTATAAAAACACTGTAAAGTATAAAAAATACCTATATTTCTTTCATAAAACATTGAAATTTAGGTTTCTTTTGAGTTTTATTATAGCAATTTTAAAGAATAAACGCGGTTTATTAACATTTTGATAGTATAATATTGATAAAAAAAATTTTTTTTAACTTCATTTTAGGGTACATGTGGATACACCCTATACTCCTATTTTGTTACACAAGATCTGAAGTGTATGCAAATTGTTTAAATGCTAGGGGGTATTATGGCAAGACTGGGAAAACTACTAATAAAGGTCACTGGTTTTTTTGGTTTGAACCCATAATTAATTTTCAAAAAGGTCACTGTAAAAATAATTAATAAAAGTCACGTGTTGGTTTACAAGAATAAGAAAATTTGAGTGAAGATCTTTCCTTTTTCTGTTTTTGGAGCGAAAACATGTAAATAAATAGCCAATTGACCAATCATAAGATGGTTCACATTTATATGATTTTCTGAATTTTTTCCAGTGACCTTTATATATAGTTTTCCCGATCCTACTATGGCTTGCAATATATGGTATATATTTCAGACTATGTGGTTTATGTATTGCACTTCAAAAGCTTTGAAAAAAGAGTAAAACAAAAGATGTAAAGGAAAGAGATGGTGAAAAAGAGATGGAAATAAAATCATTAGTATTTATCAACGCGACACATCAAAATCTATACACAAAATCAATTATTTATGTCACGTGAATTGTTGGCGCGAGGCGTGACGCAGCTGCGCCACACATTTTTGCGCACACAAAAAAGGGATGCGTCAATCGTACAACAACTCGTACGACCTAAAAATTACGTAACATTAATTCACATAAATACCTGAGAATTCGTTGGAGAATCAAAAATCTAATGAGATAAAACCGTATTAATCATTTTTTCTCCGCGTACTGCGCGTACTGTAAATTTACTTTTTTTGCAATTTTTTCGTAGTACAACTACTGAATCAGTATTTGTCACGATGTATTCAAAAAAGTATATATATATCCTCTAGTTTTTTCAAACCTCTTTTTCTAGATCTCTTTCTCTAAAATATTTTATACATAATCGAAATGGTTGACTCTTACAATTGTTTACGTCTAAATAATAAACGCGTTTTCCAGGTTGAAGTTTATAAAGACAAGGACAGGCAGAAATTCTTCGAATTTGGTAATAAACAAATTCCATTTGTGAACTTTAAAGTTGGGCAACTCGCGAGGCTTATCTCTGTACAAGAAAAGTTTGAAGTTTCGAAGCTTTGGAAAGTTGACGTTGATAAGAGTAAGCTTAATCCTGGTTCTACTGACGATGACATTAAAGAACTTGGAGGCGTGTCTATGGAATTTGAACACAAATTTGAAAGATATTTTAAAGCTGATTGCGAACTTATGGATAACATCCACATCGTTGCTGTCGTCGAAACTACAACCACTGGTAAGTGTCTCCCAATGTTTTACCTCTCGAACAAGAAATTTTTAGTCGAAATATTTCGTCATTTATTAATAATATCGAATATGCTTTCTAACTGTTATTACAACCATTAGAGCTCGGGAGGAAAAGGAGAAACACGGAAGTAGAAAGTATAAAAATGTTCTTGTTTCTATACGTAGCTATATATTTCATTCTATCATTCTTACAAATGTTTCTCTACAGCAACAAGTAGAAAGAGAAGAGAATGGGCGGTTAATAGTACCATTAATAATGAAGTGCGTGGTTCAGTATACTTTGTTGATCCAACGGAAGCGAGTGGACCACTTTTTAACATGATTAAGAAAGGAGTATTTGTAGCTTTATATGGTGCACGGGCTTCTGGGAAGTCTACACGAGTGGATCAAGCTATGATTGAGTTGGAAAGCGAAGGCTATGTTTGCATTTAGTAAGTTCTATCTAGTAAATTGAATTCAGTATAACTTTTGCTTACATCTCTTTTTTTTCTTCGGAACAGTATATCCTTTGAAGGAGTAAATATGGATACCAAAGACATATTCTGGTCGTCAATAGGCACTAAACTTGCCATTAATGCTCCAAAATATTTTAAATTAAATGAAGTCAAATCTGCCGATGATTTCATGTTAAAGTTTCGGAAAAATGATTGGAAATCTGATGTTGTTCTCTTCATTGACGAGTGTGATACATTATTTGAAGCAAATGATGGCATTAGATCCTCATTCCTTGGAGCAATTCGTAACATTAAAAATTCAAAAAGAAACTATGCAATCTGGTCTTCTGTAGCCATCGGTCCTCTAAGTATTTTATTTCTGAGATCAGACAAAATAAATGTTTCTCCGTTCAACGTTAATGAGCCATTTAGGAACCCAAATTTCACTCTGGCACAAGTGGAGTCATTATATAAGGATTATGAGGACGACGACAAATTAACCATTGTTCCGGAGGTCATTAAGGATATTTATGAACGGACGAACGGGTATGTGAAGCTGGCCGGAAGTAATATTAAATCAATACTAAAATTTGTTTTTCTGTTATTTGACAGGCATGCTGGTCTTGTCTGCCTTTGTGGCAAGGCTATCAAAAATAACTTGGAAAAGAAACTTGACGAAAGAAGATGTCTTGATTTCACTCTCTGGTCAAGCTTTGTTGCCAGTTCACAACTGATGGATCGTATGATTATGTATAACACATTTAGAAATATGGTTTGCGATCTCCTTAAGCCTGATGCTAAGGATGCTTTGGACCTTCTCCGGTCTGTATTTTTAGGATTGTTCGATTTTGTACAAATTTATGACGAAGAAGAAAGAAGACTAGCAGATTACTTAACTGCCAAGGGGGTGCTCATGAGGGAAAATGAGAACAAGTTTAGTTACAGAATGTCGTCTATTTTTGTTGATGGATTGATTCGGCAACGGGTTATTCCTGTATTGTACAAATCTCGCCCGACTGTTAAAGTTCCCAAAACTTCTGATGGCTTTCTGAAAATCCTTGACGTTTTAATAGAGGCCGTCCGTTGTTTTGATAAAACTATCATTCGTAATGCTTTTACCGATCATTTAAAACTGCACTTGTGAAAGTGGATGGTTGTCGTAATGTGAAGGTTCCTCGGGAGAGTGTTTATGATACAGAACTAATTAGAATCCTAGTGAACTGGATCGTCAAAGATAATAACTTCGAGGTCAATGGACAGTGCCATCTAATAGATCACGCTGGTAATGACGAAAAAGACAAACATTATTTTAGTGATATAATCATTGTGACTTCAAAACAAAAAGTTGTTCTTGAGCTTTTAGCATCAGCAACAAAAAATGAACTTAACGAACACTTTGAAAGGGTGCTTCATTATGCGGAAATGCTATCAGCAAGTGACATATGGATAGTAAATTTTTCATGTGAAGATGATGCAGCAAAGAAACCCCATTGGCCACCCAATGATGGAAACTTTGAGAGTGTGAATGTTGCTCATTTCTTTCACGACCAAAAGTTTGAAAATGTACGAATGAGCGCTCGATATATATCTAGCCCTGGTACTTTTAGTTATATTACAGATCAAGTTATTCAATTACAGTAATTAACTTGATTAGCTTAATTAGTATTGTAAAAATATAGAAAATGTAGAAAATATTTGTATTATATATATTACAATATGCTTATTTTCCATTTATTGTATTGCGATTCAAAAAGTGAATATAAAATAGAAGTCTTTGCATATTTCAAAAATTTCGAAGCCCAAATCTATTATTAATAAATGATTTTCAGAAATATATGATTGCTTTCAAGGTAGGCCAATAATGCGGAGTCCCTGCTCTTACACTTCCGGTACTATTTTTTTCTATTGTTAATAATTCACCTATTGAGCAAATTAATGTTTTCTCAATGAAATGGAAATGCTCATAATAAGGTTAGTCCTCCTTAAAAATTTTCTGGAAAAACTTAAATAAATGAAGTTTTTATCCCAACCATTCTAACCATTCCAATCTGACATGTGATCAATTTTTTAAAAAATTTTTTATAGTGATAGATTACATATCGGCCATTTTCCTTTACATACACTAGAGTCAAAAGTAATTCAAACAAACTGTAAACCAAATCGCGATAATGGCAGTATCACCTTGGTTGTAAGAAACAAAAATGGCAAGTACATCCTAAGGGTGCAACCACCCAAACAAATGTAAAAGAAAAAAGGGGGAAATGTACGTGTCAAGGCAGAAATTCATTTAAAAGCTTTTATACCAAAGAAAAAATCCTTTTTTTTTGAAAAGTCACATGTTACATTGATCTAATAGTTTGATCAATTAAATTTTATATGAGCAAAAACCAAAATCAGGTAACTTTATTAAACAATTCCTTTAAGTTTTATTTATTTATTTACATTTTGTTAAATAAAATTAATATTTCATTTAGGATAGGAACGGTTGTTAGAGGGCCAAGAACTCAGAGAATGTTGAAAATTTTTCATTTTGCTGAAGTTGTATCAGTGAATGCTACTCTTTGTATTTTCTAAATTATGGAAAATTATTAATACATCTAAGACAATTAGCACATCTATAAATTCTGAAATTTTACGAAGAATATGTATGTATGAAATTAATTAATTTCAGAATTATTTCCACATCATGATTTTTTGACCGTACAAATTTGGCATAGATTCGAATTTAATATTAACTAATGGTAAGTATTCTTGAATAATGAAATAATTGAATTAGTCAAAAGAGCTAGCACGGTGAATAATAATGATAATAATGAAATGAATGGATCATTTGATTCCACAATGAACTCCGTATTGATGATAACTTCGTCATATTTTTAAGATGTCAAAAAAGATGCCCTCAAAAAAAGTTCGAGAAATCAAACATTTCCTTCTTTATATATTTCAATAGGTATTTCTCTTTCTATTATTATAAATGGAAATCATCTCTTTTTCTTTGTTAATATTTAATAATATTTATTATAAGATCTCGAAATCTCGAATCTGATATTGAGAGAAAAAAGTTATTTTAATATACTTAATCATCAAATTCATCAAATTGATATTACATTAGATAATTACGTTATATTATAATAGATGTTATATTATAAAACATGAATAAAAACAGTAAAAGCTTTACTTGTAAACCATGTTATTTTGCTTTTCGAAGCGTAGACCCACATTCTTCCTTTAATATTCAATTGAGCCGACGTATGAATTATTTTTCAGCAAATTCAGCATAAGATGTTCGACGTAGCCTCAACTAGTGTTTTCGTTTTGTGAATCAGACATGCTTGCAAAGTTTATATAAGTATTTGTTGTAATTAGTAGAGAGAAGTTTTTACGAAACTAATATAATTGACCCAAGAGTTTAATTTTCGTGTCGCGTTTTTCTTTATTAACCTGTGATCTATTCGTGTCGCGTCAAAATATTTGATCAACATGACCAACATGACAAAACATATAATGCGCTATACCAAATATATTATATTATTATGTTATGTTTTGATTTTTGATTGTAGTAATACAAATTTACAATTTAAGCTAGTAATGCAAAAAATGTCAATCTTTGATAGAGTAGTTGCGGTTAGTTGGTCTTGATAGACATACTGTATTTATGTTATTTATGTTTACGATTGAATTACCCCCCTGGCCTATCAAGATCGATACTTTTTGTGTTGGTAATAAACTTATATTCTAACCTTAATTTATGATTTATGTGGTTACACGTTTATTTGATAGGTACTGATGAACTTCAAAATAAGATATTACACGAAATAATATGGTAGATTCTGATTGACATCGGAGATTCCTTATAACAAAATGAAAAAGAATATAATCGAGAATTAAATTTTTATGAAGAATTTAAAAATACAGTAATCTTATCATTGTATCAGTATCAGAATAAATCATATATCAATTTGATGTCAAATTGATCAATATAAGTATTATTATATGTTGGCAGCTTATTTATTTAAAAATATATTACTTTAAATTTCTTCAATTTGATAAGCATATTGTATTTTATATAGATAACGAAATAATAATAATCATCTTAACTAGCAACCGCGGATTTTAAACCTATCCATCTAAATTGCATTTGAAAAAAAAAAGAAATTAAATTAACGAATATATAAAATATATATATAAAATAAAATTAAATTAATTTATTTACCTTTCTTCTGAATCAATAAAATAAACAATAATTGTTACTTTCTTTTTCTAGGATCGGTATTAATCTTTATAGTCATTAGGAGGAATATAAGGAAAATTTTTGATATAAGCACTAACGTTGCTTTGATTATGAATTTTCCTTAAATAATCGATAACATTATACAATTCACGATCTTTTTCACTTTTACACCTTTCATTATCAAAATCAGGTAAATGAATAGCATTGAAAGGTTGTAATTTTGCCTTCACATAAGAATCATCAATTAAAATAGTATTTGTTTGATCCCATACAATTTGAGGAAAAGTTGATGATTTATCTTTATTCAATTCTCGCCATACTTTTTCCAAATCCTTAATTGTTTCCACTTTTTGATAATAATCCTGATCGGATAAGTTCAAATTCTTCCTCGTCCATCTGGCAACTAATTTTTTTTCATATTGACCAAATGCAACTCTAATCATTTTATCAACATTCTTAGGTTGAGCTGATGACCATACCATTACAGCAAAACTATTGGAAGAATCAAAAATATATTTCATGAATCTTTCCATATATGGACGTTTTATAATATCTCTTTTTGCTTTATCTCTGTACACTAATGTTCCATTCAAATCCAATACCAAGAGTTTCGGTAGTGGATCTTTTGAACTAACGGTTACATCTGCTTTACTCAAATATGATATTGAAGCAAATTGTGTATTAATCCGTATAATCGGTTCTTTAATAGAACCGGTAGGTCCCGGAGATCTAGTAGGTCCCGGAGATACAGATAATATTTGACGATGAATAGGAGGTGGAGATTTATTATACCGCCGGGAAGGATCATATAATCTAGTGTTTTGTCTATCATGATTACTATAAGAAGGTCGTGATCGTCGTTTGTCAGAATTTCGGCTTCGAAAATAACGATCCCTCCGTGAACCTGGCGTTCTTGAAGAATATGTATGGTTTTGTCGTCTTGTCGTATAACCATCATTTCTTGTACGAGAATCATAATCATGTCTCGTAGTATTAGGTCTATTATCAATATGTCTACTATATTGATTTCTTTCAAATCTTTCAGGTGGTGGATGATGATACTCAGGACGTTGAAAATTTTGTGACCTGTGTATGTTATGTTGCCCTGATGTTGCATTTAATTTCGCTTGCCTTCTCCTCTCTCTTTTTGCAAATTTCTTTCTTATACGCCTATCATCTCGTTGATCTTTTTCATCATTGAATCGCTCCCTATTTACTGAATCATTTTGTCTCGATGCAGAAACATCTTTTCTTTGACCTAGATTATCCATAATTATATCTCCTTTCTACATAATCATATAATATAGATGATAAGTTTATATCTCAAAAAAGATTAAATATTATAATGAGAGTAAAAAAAAAAAAATAATAATACCAACAATGAATAAATATCAATAATCATGAATCATCGAACCCTATATTTTTCAAATAACTTTAACCAAAAAAAAGTGTTTTTTTCTTTTAATATTACAAAAAATAAAAAGTAATAAGCCTTCTTTTTTTTTTATCGGGTTATTAAATAAATTAATATAATATATACGTATTATTATTTATCCTCTTTTCTTTTACTTTTTTTTTTTTTCTTTCTCTTTTTGTCGTTTAAAATAAAATACATTTTTTTTTGAAAAAAAAAAGAAAAAAGAAATTTAAAATTCTTAATTTCTTTAAAAAAAGACCTACCGAACGAAAAAGGGTTCGACGTAAAAGTTTGTACAATAAAGTTGATAAAACGAAAATTCGCTTATTATATAAAATTTTATTTTAAGTAAGATCAGTTAAAACAATTTTGATAGTAATACAATTTCGGAATGTTTTTGGAATGTTTAGTAACTTGGTAAGACGTTAGCAAATTTCATAACAAAATTTTAAACAATTAATTGACTTATTTGTCCTATTACTGCGCCCATTTAATTTACCTTTTTGATTAAATTTACCTTTTTGAATGAATAACTCGATACTTTAACGTCATTAAATCAATAATTTTTATTACACAAAAAATAAAAATATTCGTTGATTCTTTAACTCCTGAAATATAATCATAATTAAATACCATAGTTAGAAGATTGTGAAAATGAAATACCATTATACTAAACCCATTAGAGTAACAGAGTTCTGATATAAGGAAAGTGAAATTAATCATTTTGTACTCACCACAAATTTACAAGTTAAACTAACACACTTTTTGCACTAACACCGATTAATATGGTTAGAACAAAAAATATAATTTTTAATCAAAATTCTTAACAGTTTTTAAGAAATGGAATTTAACCAAAATTGGGTATATTTGAATCGAATTTTAAGATTATCAAAAAAAGAAAATCTTACAAAATCAAATTTATTATCAATTTTGATTCACTCATTCGCTCAATAAATTGATATTATCTTAAGCTCCAGATTACTTAGATCTAAGCTCTAGTTTAATTAAAACATCATTCTTTGCCATATTGGCAAATCTTTCTTCTATAACAAAGTCCTCCAGTTTCATAGCCAATTTCACGTTAAATTTTTGTAAAATCAAACAAATAACCATTTTAATATCCATCAAAGCATATCTTTCTGCCGGACATATTCTTGATCCAAAACCAAAAGGACAATAAGTATTTGGTTCGATATTTTTGATTTTATCAGGCGAGAATCGTGTTGGGTCAAATTTTTCTGGTTGTGTGAAAAATTTAGGATCTTCATGATATAAGGGAATTGGATAAAGAATCGTTGTATTAGCTTTTAGTCTAAGATCTTTAGATTCGTCCATTGCTGGAAGGATGGTTTCAGATTTTAATAATCTAGCGACAAAACTTGCTGGAGCATATACTCTTAAAGATTCCTTAACAACTTGAGTCAAATACTCCATATTGGAAAGATCTATTGATGAAAACTTTGATTTATTACTGGTAAACAGGTACACATGTTTAATATAACAAAATTATTCATACCATCAAAAGTAGGTAAACGACCTCCCAAAGTTTTGTCGATTTCTTCTTGAAGTTTTACTTGAACGTCATGATTTTGCGTTATAGCAAAGATAGTATAAGGAATCGCAGTACCAGTTGTATGATATCCGGCCATTGTATAACCGCACATGTAATGTGTAATCTATAATTATTATTTTTTGAAAAAAAAAAAATTTAACATTTTGTGGAATTCCAAGATGGAACCGAAAGAAAAACACGAATATTATCACTTACAGCTGCATCAGTAAATGGTTTTCCAGTATGGGGATCGTTTTCTGATACCAAAATATCAAATAAATCTTTCACTTTGTTTTCCCCTTCATTATTTGTTTTTAACTCATTTCTTCTTTGATCAATCAATTTACAAGTCACTGATTTCATATAATTGATAGACTCTTGGAATCTTTCCTCACGTAAAGTATCCAGCTTACCAAATTGCTTATCAAATAAACCACTTAATACATCATCATAAGATTTCTTATAGGTCTTTACATCAAGATTTTCTTCATTTGAGCTAAATTAATTTTTTTTTAAAAAAAAGGATGAATAAAAAATCTTGATTTGTCGAAATTTTTTACAATACATCGTTATACCTGACTATAACGTTAAGGGTAGTTCTTAAAGAGAATTCAAGACATTCTTCTTGCATTTTAATAATAGAATTTTTATCATTCATTATCACCTTTTCCCATCTTTCAATAAATTCGAGAGCAAGATTTCTAAGAGTTGGATACTTTACAACAATAACTAACATATTAAAGATGAATTAATTTAGTCTTTTATTTTAAAAAAAATTTACAATGATGAAAAATCAAAAAGGAATATAAATTACCATCATGTCCTAAACAAGAACCAACCACCTTTCTAAATTTAGCAGCCCTTTTACTATCATGAATTTGTAAATTATCATTTCCAAGGAAAGGTTCCAAGAATTTGAACAATTCAATAGGACGATCACCAACTTGTAGAGTAGCTTTCACGATCATCGGATCGACAGCCGAAATAGTATTAGGATAAGGTAAATCTGATGTGACATTATTACCTTGATTTTTATGAAGTTTACGAAGATATGGAATAAATCCACCACATAAAGACATTTCAGAAAAAATCTCATTTTTCTCATTTTCATTAGGAGAAATTTCTTTATCAACAGTAATAACATTTTCTTTTGGAGTAACATTTAAAAGACGAGGAGAATTTCTATATAAAAAATAAAGGGACGGAATGATTAAAAATAATGATATTACAATCATAAATTGATTGTAATAATCATCATTATAATCTGGTTTGTTATTGGGAATTTCATTATAATTTTGGACACAACTAATCATTATTAATAAAAACATGATGGGTGAAGAGAGAATTTGAAATCGAAAAAATTGATTGAACGGGTTGCATATTTTATCTGTAGTAATACCGTAATTGACTTGACTTGGCTAATACAGTTCATTTTAATGAAACTATAATCAAATAATTGCGTAACTTTCCCAATCCCTTTCATAAATTTCCAAATTTACGACTTTAAATTCCTAATACAGTCAAAATAACGATGTATCGGTGGACCACCAAATGCGAATGCGATAGATCTTTAATGCAGTTATTATACGGGGCATAGTATCCGGGTATCTTATACATGGGGCCATGGAGGGTTCTATGGCCAGTAATATACGAATATTTCAAGAATGCTATTTGTCCCATTTTTACAAAATGACAAAAAATAATAATTAAAGGAATCATGTGTATGTTTTGGAGAAAAATATTTTTACGAAATAATAACGGTATACCCAGAATTACTTTTTAATAAATCAATAACGGTTTAATTCTGCTGTTTACTAAAAACAATCAAAAAAAATCTTTGTCATATGAATTGGGTATTGAATTAAATATTGAATTGACGAATTGAAAATTGACAAATTGTGATAAATCTTGGCAATGCAAAATCGATCGAATCATATTCAAAGCTCCCAATTAATTAGATCTAAGCTCTAGTTTAATTAAAACATCATTCTTTGCCATATTGACAAATCTTTCTTCTATAACAAAGTCCTCCAGTTTCATAGCCAATTTCACGTTAAATTTTTGTAAAATCAAACAAATAACCATTTTAATATCTATCAAAGCATATCTTTCTGCCGGACATATTCTTGATCCAAAACCAAAAGGACAATAAGTATTTGGTTCGATATTTTTGATTTTATCAGGCGAGAATCGTGTTGGGTCAAATTTTTCTGGTTGTGTGAAAAATTTAGGATCTTCATGATATAAGGGAATTGGATAAAGAATCGTTGTATTAGCTTTTAGTCTAAGATCTTTAGATTCGTCCATTGCTGGAAGGATGGTTTCAGATTTTAATAATCTAGCGACAAAACTTGCTGGAGCATATACTCTTAAAGATTCCTTAACAACTTGAGTCAAATACTCCATATTGGAAAGATCTATTGATGAAAACTTTGATTTATTACTGGTAAACAGGTACACATGTTTAATATAACAAAATTATTCATACCATCAAAAGTAGGTAAACGACCTCCCAAAGTTTTGTCGATTTCTTCTTGAAGTTTTACTTGAACGTCATGATTTTGCGTTATAGCAAAGATAGTATAAGGAATCGCAGTACCAGTTGTATGATATCCGGCCATTGTATAACCGCACATGTAATGTGTAATCTATAATTATTATTTTTTGAAAAAAAAAAAATTTAACATTTTGTGGAATTCCAAGATGGAACCGAAAGAAAAACACGAATATTATCACTTACAGCTGCATCAGTAAATGGTTTTCCAGTATGGGGATCGTTTTCTGATACCAAAATATCAAATAAATCTTTCACTTTGTTTTCCCCTTCATTATTTGTTTTTAACTCATTTCTTCTTTGATCAATCAATTTACAAGTCACTGATTTCATATAATTGATAGACTCTTGGAATCTTTCCTCACGTAAAGTATCCAGCTTACCAAATTGCTTATCAAATAAACCACTTAATACATCATCATAAGATTTCTTATAGGTCTTTACATCAAGATTTTCTTCATTTGAGCTAAATTAATTTTTTTTTAAAAAAAAGGATGAATAAAAAATCTTGATTTGTCGAAATTTTTTACAATACATCGTTATACCTGACTATAACGTTAAGGGTAGCTCTTAAAGAGAATTCAAGACATTCTTCTTGCATTTTAATAATAGAATTTTTATCATTCATTACCACCTTTTCCCATCTTTCAATAAATTCGAGAGCAAGATTTCTAAGAGTTGGATACTTTGCAACAATAACTAACATATTAAAGATGAAATAATTTAGTCTTTTATTTTAAAAAAAAAAAATTTACAATGATGAAAAATCAAAAAGGAATATAAATTACCATCATGTCCTAAACAAGAACCAACCACCTTTCTAAATTCAACAGCCCTTTTACTATCATGAATTTGTAAATTATCATTTCCAAGGAAAGGTTCCAAGAACTTGAACAATTCAATAGGACGATCACCAACTTGTAGAGTAGCTTTCATGATCATCGGATCGACAACCGAAATAGTATTAGGATAAGGTAAACCTGATGTGACATTATTACCTTGATTTTTATGAAGTTTACGAAGATATGGAATAAATCCACCACATGAAGACATTTCAGAAAAAATCTCATTTTTCTCATTTTCATCAGGAGAAATTTTCTCATCAACAATAATAACATTTGCTTTTGGAGTAACATTTAAAAGACGAGGAGAATTTCTATAGAAAAAATAAAGGGATGGAATGATTAAAAATAATGATACTACAATCATAAATTGATTGTAATAATCATCATTATAATCCGGGTTGTTATCGGGAACTTCATTATAATTTTGGATACAATTAATCATTATTAATAAAAACATGATGGGGTAAAAGAGAGAGAATTTGAAATCGAAAAAAATTGATTAAAGGGTTGCATGAGAATTTTTATTATTGTATGTAGTAATGACGTAATTGACTTGACTTAGTTTGGCTAATACATTTTAACGAAACGGCTATAACCAAAATAATTGCGTAACTTTCCCAATCCAATTTTATACTTGCTATAAATTTCCAAATTTACGAAATTTACGATTTTAAATCTCCTAATACAGTCAAAATAACGATGTGTCGGTGGGATCACCAAATGCGACAGGTCGACAGGTCTTTAATGCAGTTATTATACGGGACATAGTTATCCGGGTATCTTGCAAAACCCGGGAGAACATTACATTTGGTGACACATTACATAGTAAGGTACAAGAATTACAATAGTATTATTATACCCGGGTATTTTACAAATTTTAAAGAAAATTTCCGTATATCGATTATCGAATTTTAAATAAAAATTTTTTCGAGGGTTACTATACATGGGGGGTTCTATGGCCAGTAATATACGATAATTTCAAGAATGTTATTTGTCCCATTTTTAAAAAATGACAAAAAATAATTAAAGGAATTATTTGTATGTTTTGGAGAAAAAAAATATATATATATACAGTATATCTTTACGAAATAATAACGACATACCCAGAATTACTTTTTAATAAATCAATAACGGATTAATTCTGCTGTTTACTAAAAACAAACAAAAAAAACTTTTATCATATGAATTGGGTATTAAATTAAATATTGAATTGACGAATTGAAAATTGACGAATTGTAATAATTGAAATAAATCTTGGCAATGCAAAATTTGATCGAATCATATTCAATATATTCAATATATAATTTTTTTTTTTTTTTTATGCCAGGTCAATTTTTGTCATACTAATTTTTAAATTCATAGATATGATAAATAAGTAAATATCATAATAACTTATTATAAACTAATTAAATAAGAAAAAAGTAAATTGTTATTCTTCTACGGGTTATTAAAGGATTAAAAAGATGCAAATGGGAGGACAATGTTTTCTTTTTTTATATCCTTTGATATTAATTTGTAACATATTATGTACAATATTCTTAAAATTAAAATTTGATCTACAAAAAAATGTAGGGTTCATCGTGAAATTACTTTATTTATTATGAATATTGTTCAAAAAATGGTATAAATATTATGCAGGACTGCAGGAGATATTTTTATCTAAAATCGGATAAATAATGAAAACCCGTACAAAGTTGAAACTTTTTTTTTTTTTTTTATTTCCTTTTTAAAATAATTTTTAAAGATTTATAAAAAGGATCGTAATTATCGAAAGATGATTTTTTTTTTTATTTTTCCGGAAATTAAAATGTTTATCGCACAATGAATTTATTTCCGATAATGTATGAATAATAGTAGTTATGTATAGTAACTACAAATCTAATGACAGCATGTATATATTGATCTCGAGTAATCAATTAATTCTACTTAGTAATCATATATCCTATTCTAGCGTTACGTACTATCCTAATAATTCTATCTTAATAATCGTATTCTATTGTATTCTATTCTAATAATCGTATTCTATCCTAATAATCAAATCGTATTTTATCCTCACATTTCATATTCTATCTTGGCATTCCACAATAATCATAATCGGATTCTATCCTCATAATAATCATATTCTATAATCACATTTTATCTTGGCATTCCACAATAATCATATTCTATCCTGGCATTCTACAATAATCATATTCTATCCTGGTATTCTACAATAATCATATTCTATCCTGATAATCATATTATCCTCATAATAATCATATTCCATCTATTCTATCCTAGCATTCCATCTCGGCGTCTCCTCAATCTACTTTTCCTACAATATATATTTCACAATAATTCTTAATAATATTCCAAAAAAATTCTTTCCATTCTTTTCCTAGAATAACCTAAAAATGGTTGCTAAAAAATTGAAAATAATTTTAATGATAAATTATCTAATTTTCTTTCGTCTTGTTTTTGGAGTTTTTGGATTTAATGGATGGTACTTGCCAAGTTTTTTGAAATTTAATGAGGATTCAACATTTCTTTTACCAATGGATGATGTGAATAATGATGATTCATTAGGTTAGGTATCATGTTACAAAAATTTAGGTAAAAACATTAATTTACATTATTTTAACTTATTATAGGAAATTTGAGTTTTTTGAAATTTTTTGAAATATCAAACGAAGAAAGAATGATTATTGAACATGGTCAAGGTAAAAAAATTTTTTTCTTAAAATGATACAAAATGATATAAATTGCAAAAAATTAATAGTTGTCTGTCGTTCTCTGTCGTTGTTTGTCGTTGTTTGTCGTTGTCGTAAAAACAAAAAAGCATCGTTAACGATATTAGAAAAAAAACATGATTGTTTCAAAGAAGCCACAACAACATTAAAAAATGGTTGTAAAAATGTAAATTTATCTAATAATGATAAGATACAATGTAAGTTTAATCAAGGACTCTTTTTTTTTTTTTACTTAATATTGTAATTTCTTTTAATAAATTTATTAAATTTATTATAAAATTTCTTTGAAAAAAAGATGCGATTCGTTTAGCTAAATGCGAACTTGCTACTGCTAACCTTGCCTTTCCTATGGAATGTGATGATATTGATCATGATGTTGGAAAATGTATCGAGTATGTGAATAATTAGGATTGATCATACTGACGGGAGATATTAACGAAAAGTTGATCAAGTGACTAACAATACTAACAAATTTTTTTTTTATAGATCTATTTCGAGAATTCCTCAATTTTGGACCACATATTCTGGATATTTCCGTGAAGTTTGTACGTATAATTAATTAAATCAATAAAATAAATAAATAAATACATAACAAATAAACAATTAACAAACATTTAAAACATTTCTTCTTTTTGTAAATGTAGCTCAAATGTGTTTTGCCATGAGATATTCTCTTGAACGAGGTAAGATATGTTTCCTAAATCCTAAACTCGACGTTTCATAAATTCCAAAGATGACATCTCTATAATTCTAATTTCTAATCATTCTAATAATTCTAATAATTCTAATCATTCTAATATATTTCCCATCACCACAAGATTTATTGGAAGAATATAATAGAAACGTCACATTTAAATATCATCATATATTAAAACATTTACATGAAATTATGATGACTTTGCGTAAAGAGGAAGTGAACCGATTATCTCAAATTAAGAAATTTCTAACAAATATGGCAAAAGATGTAAATGAGCTTGAGGTAAGATACAAGAAAATATTCGGATTCAAAGATTTGATCCTATAAGTGAGCGCCAATACCATATCAGATATACTTATCATACGTGATACACCCATATACGTGTATCGCCCATGCCCCATGGGTACCCATACTATATGAATTTCGTCTAAAAAATGATCGTCATGAGGTCCCACAAGTGTTGTGTTGTGGTGTTGTGTGAGCGATGTCCTCCCATACGGCCATATCAACCTATGTACTACCATATGCGTGATATTCATATACTACCTATACAGGCTATACTTTGTCTTTAACATACCCTTGTCTTTAACGACTTTTCGACTAAAAAATGATCGTCATAGCAAAAATGTGAATTTTAACCTATATTATACTTTTTAACCATATATATACTTTTTTTTAATTATAGGAAACGACTTCGTTTAATATGGGATCATTAAAAGGAATTTTATCGGATTTTCAAATAATTACTCAAAGTGCTTTAAGTCAAATAATTCATCTTAACGAGGTAATAGTCTTTAACACGATTTAATGCAGTTATATATATACAGTATATATCACGTGAAATATTTCATTAATTTTTAGGAACTTGGTAAATTTGTACCTAATGCAAGGATAATTCTTGATGAAATTAATAATGCAAATGAACAACAATTAAGTACTATTAAAGAATTAACGGTAGATCATTTTTTTTAATATTATGATAAATACGTTTTATTTTTTTATTAAAATATTACTATATTCATATAAAAAAAGGTGACATCAAAAGATATAATTCAAGTAAACTTTGAAAAATTGGGACAGATTTATCAGGCAAGCAAAATTAAATAATTTTTACAAAATTTTTTTTAGCATAATTCAAAGAGAATGGTCAACAAGAGTAAGTAAAAAAATTAGCACCTACAAAAGATTGACGCAGTGGCAAGAGATATACTATTATCACAAGAGCAAGTATATGATAATATGGAAGATGTTAAGGTATATACTATATACTATACATACGTACATATAAAACTAATTTCACAGAATTTTCTCGCATTTCTCTCATATTGTCACATTTTTTTATATTATCTCATTTCTCTCGTATTCTTTTATATTCTATCATATTCTTTTTATATTCTTTCACATTCTCGCACCTTTCCCTTTAGAACAAACATGACGAATTATTAAACCAATTACAAGAAGCGAAAGAAAATTTACAAAATTTATTAGATATTTCACAAAACGAAATTCAAGAATTAACGAAATCATTAAGCGATGCAAAAAAAATTCATCAAGATTTTATGAAATTTTTGAAACCATTAAAAGTTTCAATTGATTTCATTAATTGGATTTATGGTAAATACTAATTAATAAGTTATGATATAAAGAGGTTTTAATATTTAATAGCTTTTTTTTTTTTTGGTCCAACTTTTGGTTTAAACTTTTGGTTCGACTTTTTGGTCTTTTAGACGGAAAACCTTTTACAAATAATGTAATTTATGTGATTCCGTTATTTACTCTTATATTTTGGATATTATTTGGTAAAATGGTGGCAATTTCATGTATGTAATTAACTAGTATAACCTAAAAAATATGACTAATATATGACTAATACATGATTAATATATACCCAATTTTTTAACATCCACAGTAACGATGCAATTATTATATCGTTACATTAATCAATATGAAACATTCGATGAACAATTCATTCAGTCTTTCGTTTTGGTGGTAAATATTACAAATATGCTTTCTTACTTTCTTACTTCCTTACTTTCTTACTTCCTTTACTTCCTTGCTTTCTTGTATTTTTTTAAAAAAAAACAAAAAAAGTAAAAAATTAATTTTTTATGATCTTTGCACTTTTGAAGATGACGGGAGGAATATTATCAAGAGTATTTTCCAATGGATTTGAAAATCAAATGATAACCAAAATATTAAACATAATTCGTAGACGTTACTAAAAAAATTTAAGGTTACCTTTTTACCACAAATAAAATGACGCAAATCAATTGTTTACTAATTAGGATGGAAATATACATATCAGGTTATAATCGCATATGACAACAAGATGATATACGAGAAAAACATGCAAAACTTTTTTTTATTGAAAGAATTTATTTTCCATGACTCGAATAATACGATTATTTATATCTTTTTTTTTATTTTTATTATATAAAAAAAAACGTGAGAATTAAATAAATTAGTATGAGTTCATAGAAAAATTACTTTATTAAGAAAATTTTAATGCAAGGGAAATTTTTAAGGAGATTTAAAATAACCGAAAAAAAACCTTTTTTTTCTATGAATTTAACCATAAAAAAAAAAAATATTTTTTGATTTAAGCCCCAATAATTTATACTATTTAGAGTAATCAATGGTTTTTTTATTTGTACTTTTTTGTGTGTAAGTTTCTTTTACATAACAATCATTAATTTTACCTTTTATTATTTATCTTATTATCTCGCGAAATCAAAGACCGAAACTTAATTATTTATAATATAATATTTAGTTTAGATCAAGTTGGATAATCAAATATTACAAATATTACAAATATTTAAATATTGCCGAATATAAACGATTTAACCCAAGATCTTGTAAAAAAAAAAAATCGATTAAACAGATTTCCCGATTTTATCTATTTTATCGTAGACATGTGAACTATTATTTAATGTTCATTTTTCACGAGATAATTATTTTTTTTTCTATTGTTTTAAGATTTTTTTTTTTTTTTAAAAGTAATAAATAAATAAATAAAATAAAAAAAAAATATAAATAAATAAATAAAAAAATACATAAATAAATAAATTAAGTTTTTAAATTATCTAATCAAAAAAAAATTTTAAAAACAATACCTTTTTATAGAATCTCTTTCTTATCTCTTCCTTATCTCTTTTCTTGGATAAATTAAGAAAGTGATATTTTCGAATTTTTTTTTTTTT